CCCCTAATAGAGGCACCAGGTATGTTTATTTTGTAAATAATGTTTATTTAGTAAATAAAAACATTTCTATATATGATCTGTTGGAATTGTGAGTTTGTTTCATTGTAATCAAATAGTGTAGAGTTTTTGAATCTGAGTTGATACTTTTAGTGGTTTGTAGCTTCCTCCGTCTTTTGGTGTGTGTGTGTTTGTTCGTACAGCTCTTACGGTGAAACTCAAGGTTTAGTTCCAGTAAATTGTTCATCAGTAAAGCCACAATCCTTCACTTGGCTACAATATGAATAAAAGCCTATTATGAAAAGGTTTTTAGAAATGTCTGTAGAAAATCAGCATTTTACTTCTGCTTTCAGCTGTTTTTGCTCTTTCTGTTCCTTGTTTTTGTGAATGGGAGTAAGCAGAGGTCGGAGGTCAGCATTATTTCCACAGCTCTAAATATTAAGTCCCAGCTCTGCCTCAGAGGCTTCAAGGCAACTGAAAACGTACATCATGTTCAGTAAAACAACCTGAGGAGTTTTTCAAACTCCTCTGCAATTATTCCCTAAAATGATGAAGACTTTTAAGCCTCGGTTATTATTGCTCTGCAGTCCCTGCCTGCTCCTTACCGACACTTATGACAAACTGGATTACTAGCACTCATGCGTTTCCTACAAATGACTCAATCCAGAATCTACAAAGCAAATTCCCTCAGCAACAATAAGAGCCAAACAACTGAAAGAATCAGACAATTTAGCGTTAATGAAGCTCAGCGAGGCCAACTTCAGCGACTCCCTGTGAAGCCGTTTCATTAGTTTCTGCAGGAAAATAGTTCACAGTGGAGTCACAAGTGAAATACTTTAATTCAGACGTTAATGTTACAGGGAGGATTTCCTCTGTCATCTGGCTTGGAACGGGACAAGGAGGAGAAGAAATGGCAGAAATGGACGGGAGAAGGATAAATTGGTAGAGATGGAAAAAAAAGCTGAAAAAAAGAATGGATGGAAGGAGGAGTAGAATTCTATTTAAATTATTTATGTTCAGTTTAGCAAAAGTTATTCAGATATCCAGCAGATTTGTTTCTGATCAGCAATGAGAGGAATCTTTTAAGACAATAAACCTGTAAAAAGAGATCAACCTAAAAATATGGATTTTCTTTTTCAAACTTTCTATGTCCTTTTCAAAATGTAGCTAAAATTAAATTTAGTTATATGACGTCAATTCACAACAAATGTCATGTTGAAGCAACATTTAGAGGAAGAATCTTTATTGGTTTTCACCAATCAATCACTTTGGTGATGACACAGAAAGGTCTTTTTGCCATCACTCTAATTTTTTGCTCTCCACACAGATTCTCTAAGGCATTGAAGATGGGTACACACACACACACACACACACACACACACACACACACACACACACACACACACACACACACACACACACACACACACACACACACACACACACACACACACACACACACACACACACACACACACACACACACACACACACACACACATATCTCATTTATATTGGCTCCAGTCAGAAGAAACATGGCTAAAATTTAAAGATGACTTTAATCTATTTCTAGCAATGGTATGAATAATTTTGGGCTTAAATGTGTCAGAGGGACATCACAAACAAATCAGGAGATGTTTAGATGAAGATACAGGAAACTTCTTTCATCTGATGTTGAAAAGGACAAAAAGTGATGCTATGTCGCCCTCTGGTGGTGGTATTTGAGATGACAGGTGCGCTGATGTCCAACTGAAGATCCGATCACCTTTGGGAACATTCAGACAAAAAAAATCTGAGGCTCCACCTCAATATCTCCGCAAGATAAAGAGATTTGGAATTAAATTTTCTATTTTAGTTCTGAGTGGTGAGTCCTGTTTTCACACCTGATAGTCCAGGAGACTTGGTTTGATTGGGGATCAAAATTGGAACCTTTGTTATATTTTCACGACATGCAAAGTCTGAGCAACAAGGAAACCTTTTGCTTTGTAAGAATGCCAGGAAGAACGGAGAGAAACTTCTGGTACATTGTTCTTAGGGTTGCAGAGCCTAAAACTCTATTATTTAGACTCCAGACAGAGAACATGTTTGGCATAAACCAAGTACAGCAGTCCAGGAGAAAAACTTCATAGCAAATGTGAATTAAGGAGGAGGAAGTGTCATACTTTGGTACACTTTGCTGCAGCAGAACCTGGTCAGTTCATCATAGAAACCACCACAGATTCTACAGTGTATCAGATGAAGCTTCAGAAATATGTGAGACATTCTCTGTAAACTGAAAGCTGAGACAGAACTAGACCCGACACCTGGTCAAGAAGTAACTAAAGTTACTGGGCATAGTCAAAGCCCAGACCTGGGTGTCTTTGATAAGTTAATGGATGATTTGGAAATTACTAAATGTACAAGAACCCTCATAAACATCTCACAGATGAAAGTGAGTGGACAAATGTTCCTCAGACTGATGTCAGAGATAATAGATGGAGACACGAAACATCAATCAGCAATAACTGGAACACAGCAATTTGGCTGTTACTTTCCTGATACGGGCCTAATATATCTGACTTGATAATCCATGCATCCATCCATCCAGAAGTGCTTTAACTGTAGAATATCGACAGATGCCAGTTTGAAGAGAAGTAATCATTGTCCAACTCTTTCTAAGGGATGACATAAAACTGCTTGCAAAAAAGAACTGGAAATAACTCACTGATCAGCAACATCTCACAGATACGTCCTTTTTTAATCCACTTCTGTTATCAGAGAGTACATTCCATACAAGAACACAGTTCTGGACAGAGAAGCAGAAGTGGCAACATCAGCCGGTTTGGTCCGGTTCTAATCACTTCTTACGGTACGTAACTCTTCACGCTATCAGGAAAACGTCCTTGGCCGAATCCTGGAAGATTCTGCAACTTGAACACGTTGTAAAAAAGTGACAAAAGCGAGAACAGACAGTGACTTACTCCAAAATGTCCACTTCACAGACAAACAAAGTGAAGGTATATAAAGTCTGTGTTTCCATCTCTGAGACATCCTGTGACCAGAAACTGCTGCTGGAACAGACTCTTCAACTAACCATCAGAACAAGGTAACATTTAAAGTCCTACTGCTCATGGTGATGTTTTATGTCTTGGTTGAGTTGATCTGTGATGCTAATTATGAACTTTCCTAACCATTCTTTCTACAGATGGCTGCCGGTCTTCTCTTTCTCTGCTTCTTGGTCTGAGCTTTGGACTCTGGGATGGAGCTGATGTAAGTATGGAGAAGGACTTAAGACAATGACTGGTATGTCCCTGTTGGGAGCTTTGGCTGACTGACGTAGATCAGATGGAGCAATCTGAGCCATCACTTGGTTGATGAGAAAACTTTGTTTTGTTGGGAATTTGTTCTAAAACTTTGGGTTTTTCATCCACAGGCCGGATGTCAACTGAAAGGTACGTGATTCTTTTATTGTTGGAGTTTCTAACACCTAAAAGACAATTTTATTGTGAGAAGTTCTTTGAAAAGTGGAAACTTTTGCTTCTTGGGTCATCCTTTCAGCAAAATTACAGGCCTTAATTTCTGCATAATGTAAATTAATAAATAGTTTATTTAGTACTTATTGTATAGAAACATCCCATCCCACAAGGCGGATAGACAACAGTAGTTTTTACTGAAGGCAAATTATTTTCTGAATAAAATAATCAGAACCAATAAATGTCATTTCAGATTTTCATGTGAAAATATTTTCCAATAACTTTTAATATTTATCATAGTTTGATATAATCATATTGTTTGATGCAGCAGAACTCCTGGTTTGTGTTAAAATGATGCTGATTATCAGATCTACGTATTTAACTTCTCTCTTCAAAGATGCCAAATCAACTGAATGTCTTGGAAATTGGACTTGGTACGATGGTCGCTGTTTCAAGTTTTTTGAAGCTCACAAGAACTGGGACAATGCAGAGGTACAACAGATGTGATGATCTCAGCAGATTTCCTACATTCAAAGGAAATGTAAATTTATTGATATAAAGACAATAAGATTCACCAACAATAAGGTTCCAGAAACTGATTTCCATTAAACAAATAGATCCATAATTTCTAAAGGTTGATATTCAGCTGCACCAACTGTCTCACTGCACAGAGGAAAGTTTAAACCAGTGTTGCCTTTTTCAGAACGACTGCCTTTCATTCAAAGGAAATTTGGCCTCAATCCATAGTGGAAATCAATACAACTTAATTAGAGACCTTGTCTTCAATGCAACTGGAAAACACACAGAAACTGGGTTGGAGGTCATGATACAACACAGGTGAGAATTTAAAAACATACAAATATCTCCATTTGGTCGTTTTCTGTCAAGATGTATTTCTCATGGCTCTTTTTGTAAAAGCTTTGAGACGACATTTGTTGTGAATTGTTGTCATATTAATAAACTGAATTGAATTGAACAGGTGTTCCTAATAAAGTGGTCAGTTCAGTCAAAGACATTCCAGTTGATTCTGGTTATAATGCAGTTAACTGCAGATTAGAATATCAGTTGGTCAACAGTTACCTGAGGAAGAAACCCAGTTTGTTGTATTGAATAACTGACTATGCTAAACTCCCTCATGCTGAGGAAGCATGTGGCAACAGTGGAGAGGAATGAGAGGAGACCTCCAACAGAACCAGAACCGGCTTCTGTTTTTCCTCCGGCTGCTCTGACCAGCTGAGGGTTTAAATATCAATGATCCAAACACAGTTCATGTTTTCTATAGTGAGTGGCAGAAGTCCAGGTTGGTTCTGTGGGATTTATTTGCATTGGAACTGAAAACTAAGATGTTCTTTCAGGAAGGCATCTGGTTTTGGAGTGATGGCTCCAAGTTTGTGTTTCATCACTGGGGCTTTCATGAGCCAAACCAAGCCGTTTCAAGCGAAGACTGCATGGAGATCAACTTTGATGGTATTTATTTCTGGGAAATCAAAATCTGTAGTTTGATCATTTTGTTTAAATGTATGTTTTATAAGGTCTTTATATCCAGTGGCTTCGTGGGTGGGAGTTTGTCCTGTAATTGGTGGGTTCCTGGTTCGAAACCCTGCTCTCTTCGTCTCTTTACAGAACGAGATCATGTGAATGATGAAAGCTGTAACAAGGAGCTTCCCTACATCTGTGCCAGTGTCCCATAACTTTTCTCTTCTAATGTCTAATAATCTGAAATGTATCCATAATATATGGCTTTCCTGCTGCCGATGTCACTTTCATTTGGATGTCAAGCCTTGATGACATCACTGTTGGAAGAACCTGATTTCACTTCATTTTATCACTTAAATAAACGTTTATTTCTCTGAAATTTGATTGTTTGATTTAATTCCAGCATTTAATATCTGTTCATTTAAGCAGCCACATTGTAAAATCAACTGGTGCTTTTTACTAAACAGAAGTTAGTTTTGTTCTAATTTCAGCAAAATGATAAGAGTAACTTTTATAAATTGAATTGAATAGATCTAGTTTGATTTTCTAACTCATTTACTGTAAGTACACAGATGCTTATAATTTATTTTAGTTTTCAGACATGTGACCCGGATGCTTCTGTAAACCAGTTCAGATGTCGGTCAGGAAGTGGATTTCTCCTGTTCAAATCAGAGCAAAATTGATCACAACAGAAGCTGACGAGGCTGGACCAAATGAGGCATCTCAAAAAAACTGCGTGTATTTAGGATGGGATCCGTATTATCTCGGTACAAGACTTGTCTTATAACCTGGAGGATTTCCCCGCATGGAGGCGATCCACATAACGAACCACCTGGACCTGCAGGCCTCATATTGGACCACGAGTCAGAAGAACGTTTCCAAAAGCCTGGAGAATAAAATCATTTAGTTTCAGGTTGGGTCAAATTCAGGATCAAAGGAAGCTTTAAATGGCCGTCGACTCGTTTCTGCTGGGAGACTAAGCTTTGTGCTATTTTAAGTAATTAGTCCATGATAATGATGCTAGCGTAACGAGAAGCTAACATGTTGTTTCTATGAGGATCTCCTGCTAAATCATTTATTTAGCTTCTGTAAACCAGTTCATGCTGGAGTTGCAGTTGGTTTTGAGTCGCTGTGGGATGTCTCCAGAGATTCAGGTTGCAGATCCTGATCTAGCAGATGGAAAATGTGATCCTATGCCAATACAGCACCCAGAAGTAGAGCATCACAATTTTTAATTCACTGTTACAGTAAAATTATGAAGGTTAAAAATATTCACCACTGAATATCAATAGGACATTTATCAAGTATAATTTCTTTGGACTCCCCTGTTGGCCCCGTCTGGACCCAGCCGTGTGCTGCAGGTCCATGTCTGGTGCCTTTTTGGTTAGCATGGTTTTTCTTCATTGATAGGAAGTCAGGTTATCCAAACTGGTAAACAACATTAACAAAATAATTCAGTAAATTACCACTGAACAATGTATTCATAAAATATATAAAGATTTCTAAATAAAACACACAGAACATCTTCTGTGTTGGAGAGAAGGTACCATCACATGGAGCCTGTGGAGGTGGCAGCATCTGGAAGGACCTGATGCTGTAGTAGGATTTCCATGTGAAGGTGGAGACATCAGGCAGCATACAGGCGGTTTGTCAAGGACTTTGGGTTCTGGCCACAGAGCATTGTTTGGACAATCCAGGACAGATTTCCAGGTCCTCATGGACAATGCAGAAGTTTTATTTCCAGCAGAGTATATCTGTAGTGCTGTGTGCTTTTAAAAATGTTAATGCTTTCTGTCATCATATAAATATTTTGCTTATTCAAAACCCACTCACTGTCATTTTCAGGTATTACACCAAATAAAAAATAAACATAAAGCCCCCAAAAATATGGCTCTAGTAGACCGGGCCCTAATTGTAAATGGCAGGTGACATTACAATTACCTTCAAATGAAATCATAGAGCCAAAACAAAATGAAAACAAATTATACCCAAAATTTGAGCACATTAGAGACAGGTCTTTCTGGGATGCTTGTTTTTGTTTGAAGACTCACGGATCGTACCAGACCTTTTTTGTCTGGGAAAGTTTCCAACCCAGAAGCCCAGACATCGGTGGATCCACAGGATCCATTACAATAACTATGATTCTAAGAACAAAATTTCTCCTCTTTTGGTTCCATTTGTCTCACTCTTGATGTAATGGAAGGTACTCTTGAAGCCATCTTTTCCAGAACAAATCAGCAAGGTATTGGATTTGTGGCCATCTCTTCTTCACATCCAGATCATCCTTGTTAAATGATCGGGTGATTAAACTGGCTTCCCTTTCACCAGATGAATGTGTTTAGGAGTGAGTGGGTCCAGATCAGTGGATCATTTGAGAGAGGGGTCGACCAATCAATACAGCCTCAGCCTCGCACAAATGGTCTGCAATCCATCATCACCGTAACACAGAGGTAAGACCCTTTCTCACCATCCGAATGACGCTCCCAGACTCCACCTTTGCAAAGTGTCAATGCCTAAAGATAAAGCCACTTCCAAATGAGCAACTCTGCTTGCAAAGCAGGTAAAAAAGACACCATGATGCTTGAAGAAGCTTTGTTCTCTTTTCACCTCCAAAACACCAAAACAATCCACTGCTACATGAGTAAAAGGAGGGAGATCTGGGAAGACTTTCCTTTGTGTTGTCTGCAGAAACTGCATTATGATGTAATTTTTCTCAGAACTGAGAAGGCATTTGTTATCCAAAATCTTTTTTGCAGAATTGACAGCGTATAATTTCTGCCGCTGTGACCAACTTGCTAATGCGTGTCTTAAGATGAGTGTGAAGACGTGTTGTTCTGGTAAAGCTGACTTACTCAAGTGGCCTCCAACTCTCAAAAGTCTGTCCTATAGATGTGGATCTAGTTTGCAAATAGAGCTTTGTCTTGGTACAGCTTTCCCCACTGATAGGGCAGCAATCTCTTCTGCCAACTATGGAAAATAATGGAAATTTCAGCATCCAAAAGATCGTCAATCGACAAGGTTTGATTTGTTGCTGTTTTGCCCATCATATGTTATTCTTCTACACTCGTTTTACGAGTATCCAACTTTTTTATTTTGTTTCAACTGCAAAATAACCTTTTTTCATTTAATAAACCATGCAACTGCCACTTTATGTTTACTCCAATCTGACAAATTTACAAGGTGCTGATCTGTAGCAATACGAGAGACCCGAGTGATTACATTCACTGTGACATCTCTTTTAAACTCAACATCTTCAGCAGCAATTGTGGCTTCCACATCATCGGAAGGCCAACCCTTTTCTGGTCCAAGCAGAAACTTTGAGCCTTCAATCCAACTTTCTCCTTTCAGGAAGTCACCTTCATTCCTCTGGAGTCACAGCCTGCAGGATTGTCTTTAGTATTAAGACTTCTACTGTGAAAGGTGAGATAGATCTTTGATGGTTGACACACAATTTGCCACAAATATGCAGAAATGTTTGTTCTCGTTTTTTATGTACTTGAGCACTAAAGTGCTGTCTGTTCAAAAAACTATTTGATCCAATTATGGCTCCAATTCTGTTTGCAGCATCTGATGAGGAATGGTTATCAGTTTCACGGGAGTTACTCTTGCTTTTCCCAACAAGAAGGAAGCTTCTTGTTGCCGTCATCATTTTCAATGGATCTTGCAACTTGAAAAGAAACCAAATCCTTGAGATCTTCCATTGGCCACCATTGTAAGAAATGAATACAAAAAAGAACACTGCACACCAAACAAAAAAATAGAACATGCAGAGCAAATGAACCAAAAAATAGCTAAATGAAACATGCAAGCAATGACAAATCAAACCTACATGCAAAACAAAAACAACTACAGTGTGCCAATAAACATGCCAAAAAATTATAAGAAGGACTCAACGTGAGCGGTTGAACACTGACCTGAATAAAAAAAAATTATTAATTGGTAAATGACAAACATTCAGTTTTGGTGCACGTTCCAGGAAACAGAGGGGAGGCGGTGAAGCCACAAACAATTCACTGGCAGGAACCACAACAACTCAGGATCTCGGTCAAGAACCCCACACCTATGACCACACGCATTCTCAGAGAGGGGAGCGAGACCACCAACCCAACCGCAGTCCTGAAAACAATTGATCGACATCTGAGGAAAGAACGGGATAATGGAAGTCCATACCACGCCATCTCAACAACTCAAGACAAATGTGTGTGAGGGTGCACATGACACACCTAGCTTTACAGGCCACATTGGTGCTGCCTTTAAAGGTGAACCTGCATGAACATACCACACATCCATGGGAGGCAGTGCATGGAAGGCAGTGCATTGGAGGCAGTGCATTGGCTTGGTTTCAAGTGTTTTATTTGAAGGCAGTCAACAGACTGAATCCAACAGAGTCAGGAAAAGCAGAGCAACATCTCACAGATACGTCCTTTTTTAATCCACTTCTGTCATCAGAGAGTACATTCCATACAAGAACACAGTTCTGGACAGAGAAGCAGAAGTGGCAACATCAGCCGGTTTGGTCCGGTTCTAATCACTTCTTACGGTACGTAACTCTTCACGCTATCAGGAAAACGTCCTTGGCCGAATCCTGGAAGATTCTGCAACAACTTGAACACGTTGTAAAAAAGTGACAAAAGCGAGAACAGACAGTGACTTACTCCAAAATGTCCACTTCACAGACAAACAAAGTGAAGGTATATAAAGTCTGTGTTTCCATCTCTGAGACATCCTGTGACCAGAAACTGCTGCTGGAACAGACTCTTCAACTAACCATCAGAACAAGGTAACATTTAAAGTCCTACTGCTCATGGTGATGTTTTATGTCTTGGTTGAGTTGATCTGTGATGCTAATTATGAACTTTCCTAACCATTCTTTCTACAGATGGCTGCCGGTCTTCTCTTCTCTCTGCTTCTTGGTCTGACCTTTGGACTCTGGGATGGACTGATGTAAGTATGGAGAAGGACTTAAGACAATGACTGGTATGTCCCTGTTGGGAGCTTTGGCTGACTGACGTAGATCAGATGGAGCAATCTGAGCCATCACTTGGTTGATGAGAAAACTTTGTTTTGTTGGGAATTTTGTCTAAACTTTGGGTTTTCCATCCACAGGCATGTCAACTGAAAGGTATGTGATTCTTTTATTGTTGGAGTTTCTAACACCTAAAAGACAATTATTGTGAGAAGTTCTTTGAAAAGATAGGAAACTTTTGCTTCTTGGGTCATCCTTTCAGCAAAATTACAGGCCTTAATTTCTGCATATGTAAATTAATAAATAGTTTATTTAGTACATATTGTATAGAAACATCCCATCCCACAAGGCGGATAGACAACAGTAGTTTTTACTGAAGGCAAATTATTTTCTGAATAAAATAATCAGAAACAATAAATGTGTCATTTCAGAGGCTTTTCATGTGAAAATATTTTCCAATAACTGTCATCTCTTAAATCATTTTGTTAAAGTGCAGTATTTTTACTTCATTATTTATTTAATTCAACATTGATTATACTTTTTTAACAGTTATTAACTGACATATTTCCTATTTCATAACCTGTAATTTTGGTCATTTTTTCTTACATTCATATTGTTTGATGCAGCTGAACCTCTGGACTGTTTTGGTGTGAACATGATGCTGATTATTAGATTTATGTATTTACCTTCTGTCTTCATATTTCTCAGCTATTACAGAGGTTGACTGCCCTCCTGGTTGGACTTGGTTTGAACGTCGCTGTTATATATTTGTGAAGGTTAAAAAGTCCTGGGCTGAAGCAGAGGTACAACAGATGTGATGATCTCAGCAGATTTCCTCAATTCAAAGGAAATGTAAATTTATTGATATAAAGACAATAAGATTCACCAACAATAAGGTTCCAGAAACTGATTTCCATTAAACAAATAGATCCATAATTTCCTAAGGTTGATATTCAGCTGCACCAACTGTCTCACTGCACAGAGGAAAGTTTAAACCAGTGTTGCCTTTTTCAGAACGACTGCCTCTCAATGAATGGAAACCTGGCCTCATTCCACTCTTCAAATGACTACTACTTCCTCAAACACCTTGTCTACAGGACAACTGGCAAAGATACAAGAAGTTGGATTGGAGGTCATAGTGCATTGATTGTGAGAATTTAAAAACATACAAATATCTCCATTGGTCGTTTTCTGTCAAGATGTATTTCTCATGGCTCTTTTTGTAAAAGCTTTGAGACGACATTTGTTGTGAATTGTTGTCATATTAATAAACTGAATTGAATTGAACAGGTGTTCCTAATAAAGTGGTCAGTTCAGTCAAAGACATTCCAGTTGATTCTGGTTATAATGCAGTTAACTGCAGATTAGAATATCATTTGGTCAACAGTTACCCGAGGAAGAAACCCAGTTTGTTGTATTGAATAACTGACTATGCTAAACTCCCTCATGCTGAGGAAGCATGTGGCAACAGTGGAGAGGAATAAGAGGAGACCTCCAACAGAACCAGAACCGGCTTCTGTTTTTCCTCCGGCTGCTCTGACCAGCTGAGGGTTTAAATATCAATGATCCAAACACAGTTCATGTTTTCTATAGTGAGTGGCAGAAGTCCAGGTTGGTTCTGTGGGATTTATTGCATTGGAACTGAAAACTAAGATGTTCTTTCAGGAAGGCATCTGGTTTTGGAGTGATGGCTCCAAGTTTGTGTTTAATTCCTGGACCCGAAATAACACATCGGATGGGAAAAGATGCATGGACATCAACATAGCAGGTATTTGTTACTGGAGACACACAACCTGTAATTTAATCATTTTGTTTAAATGCATGTTTTTATCTTTGTATCTGGTGTCTTAGTGAGTAGGAGTTTGTCCTGTAATTGGTGGGTTCCTGGTTCGAACCCCCACTCCATTCATGTCCGTTGTGTCCTTGGGCAAGACTCGTCATCTGCCCTGCATGCTTTCTGAAACCAATCAAATTATGTCAAAGTCTTTGTCAAAGGTTTGCAGTCAGGATTTGTCCCTTTGTCTTTTTACAGGACAGACACTTTTGTCTGGTGCTGACTGTTACACGACGCTTCCCTACATCTGTGCCAGAGACCCATGACTTTTCTCTTCTGATGCCAAATAATCTGAACTGTATGTCTGTCCTACTGGTGATGTCAAGCCTCAATGACATCAGTGCAGGAAGAACCTGATTTCACTTCATAAATGATTTCACTGAAATAAATGTTTTCTTTCTCTGAAATCTAATTGATTGATTTTATTCTTTTATTTAAAATATGTCAACATTGCATTTAAGCAGCAACTTCTAAACTTAGTGGGAATAGATCTAAATCTCAGCTATATCTTTATTCTGAGAAAATCAGAAGTCAGTGCAGCTACACCGATAAACACTTGAACATTTCTCTTTGGCCTGCCAAATAAAATCAACGTTAAAGTAATGTAGCAGCATAGAAACGTGAATATTTATATCTAAATATTTTTCAGGTGGGATAAATTACAGTCGGATGAAGTGGGCCGGAATAAAAGTATGTCAATAGCAAATTTATTTAAATAGCTCTATATATATGTATTTAAAATTAAAGGTAGAATAATAAGAGTAATATTAAGTAAAATAATTTATAAAGCATTATAACAGAAGAGTTCCAGTATCAGACCTCAATTAAATGCCTGGGAATCAAAATGAGGTTTAAGAAGCGATTTGAAATGATCCGGGCTGTGGGCAGATCTAATCTGGAAAGGCAGATTATTCCAGAGATTAGAGGAGAAAGCCCGATCTCCTTCCTCTGGAATCGGCTCCGTGGGATTTTCAGTAGCTGCTGATTGTTGCATCTTAAAGTTCTGGACACAGAATGAAGTTTCAAAAGATCCTGAAGATAAGGAGGAGCTAACCCATTTAAACTTTATAAATTGTTAAAAGAATCTTAAAATCTCTTCCGTATGAAACAGGCAGTCAGTGTAAGGAAGCCACTATGGGCCTTATATGGTCATGCTTCCTGGTTCTGGATCACTGGGTGACACTGGATGAGGGATTCATCCAGGCCTCTATATAATGAATTACAATAATCCACTGAAGATGTGATGAAGGCATGGATAATTCCTTCAAGATCCTAAAAAAGAGATTTCATCTTTGATAAAATCCACAAGTGATAAAAACTTGATTTAATGATGGAACTAAAGATAAAACCAAGATTCCTGGCAGAAGTTGGACAAAACGAAGCGAAAGGACCCAAATATCGAGTCTGGATTTTTATCCAGTTTGGATCAAATTATATGACTTGAGCTTTACTGTAATTGAGGTGAAGAAAGTTTTGGTCCAAGTTCAGCTAAACATCCATCAATGCCTGTGAGATTTATTTTCACCACTGAAACCCAATTGCACGATTTTATAATTGTTAGCCGATTTTTAAAACCTGAGAGACAACAATAACATAATTTAAGATAATAATTTTAAGATTATTACTTGGAATGTTAAGGGTCTAAATTACCCCATTAAAAGAAAAAAACCCCTCAATATATGAAAAACTTAGGAATGGTTTTCCTTCGAGCCACTGATCTTAAATGTGTGTTTAAAATGTGGGTGGGGCAACTTTTCTATTCAACTTTCCAGGGTAAAGTGAGAGGAGTCGTAATACTTAATAAAAATGTATCATTTGCACCATCAGCAGTTGTTGCGGATGCCAATCGCCTGCAGCGAGTCTTACCCAGCGTTAAATCCTCGGATCAGACAGAGTTTGTTGAAAGCAGACACTCTTCTTAGAATATACGTCGTTTACTGAATATAATGCAGATCCCTTGTCAAAATAATTCTGAATGTGTTCTTTGCATGGACGCAGAGAAGGCATTCAACAGTGGAGGGGATCTATATGTTTGAAACTTTGGAGAGATTTGGTTTTGGCAGGCCATCTATATCTTGGGTCAAGTTACTGTACTTCTCTCCATCAGTTATTTCAGACGAATAACTTTTACCGCAGGAGCCAACAGGGGTTCCCATTAGCCCAAACAACTCTATTAAAGGTATTACCAAGGGCAAGGTTGAGCATGAGCTCTCTCTCTATCCTGATAACCTTTTGTTATACATATTGTAGCCAGAACTGAACATCCCTCACATTTCAACAGTCCTCACTCAATGTGGAGAAATCTCTGGGTATAAAGTGAACATGCACAAGAGTGTTTCTGTCTCTGAACCAAGTACCCTAGATTATGTCAGAAGTGTTACACCTTTTAAGATAGCTATTCATAGCTTTGTCTGTCTAGGTATTACAATAACAAAGACTTTTGATGACCTCTATAAAAATAACTTTAATAATTGCTTTCTGAGACCAACAATTACTTAAAGAAGTGGTCAGCACTCCTCTCTCTCTCCCTGGAGTCAGGGAGCACTGCCTGCTTTAGTGTCTCCCTGTTGTTGTTCCAGTTTCTTACTTTAAAAAATTAGATTTGGCCTTTTTGACTTACATTTGGAATGACCAAAAGTCTCGTTTTAAAGACTGCCTGCAAGAATCAAAGCAAGATGGAGGCCAGGCTCTTCCCAATATCCAACATTATTTCTGGGCCTGTAATTTGGGTTGATTGTCCTTTTGGGTGCACTACAGCTGCAATGATGGTGGTCCCATTTGGGTGGAGATGTGGCCCCATGTGCCCCTTTATCTCTGCCAGCTGTGACGGTGCAGCCTTACCCTTACCTCTAAATCGTACTTCCTCTAACCGTATAGTCTATAACTTCCTGGCAATCTACTCACAATTTAGGAAACACTTTGACCTTCGTCAGATGAGTCTTTCCAGTCTAATTGCGTTTGATTAACCTTTTCCTCCTTCATTGCAGGATGCTACTTTTGGTGTGTGGCAAAGTAAAGGTCTTCATATTGAAAACAAGTTTGCTTCTTTTAAACAACTGTCTAAAGAAGCAAACTTTGAATTGCCTTCCTGACACTTCCTTTGATATTTACAGGTTAGACATTTTATTACCTCATACGTCAAGATTTCCAGGCAAGTCTCCAGATAACCTAATATAATTAGGTTACAATTGATAAGTTGATGTTTCTTGACCCAACAAGGAGTAAAAAAATTACTTAATTGATAAAACTGATCTCACATTTAGATTCCTGATCCTTTGTCACAAATAAACAGTCCTGGGAGCAGGATCTTCAAATTACGATTAGTGAGGCAGTTTGGGCTGATAGTTTGAGGAGAATCCACTCATCTTCAATATGCGTGGAATATAAATTAAGCAAACATTGTTGCTTCACCATCTCCTCGGAATATCTGACATTTACCACCTGAATCTGGGAATCTACATCCTCTACCTCAAACGTAGTGTTTTATTTGAAGGCAGTCAACAGACTGAATCCAACAGAGTCAGGAAAAGCAGAGCAACATCTCACAGATACGTCCTTTTTTAATCCACTTCTGTCATCAGAGAGTACATTCCATACAAGAACACAGTTCTGGACAGAGAAGCAGAAGTGGCAACATCAGCCGGTTTGGTCCGGTTCTAATCACTTCTTACGGTACGTAACTCTTCACGCTATCAGGAAAACGTCCTTGGCCGAATCCTGGAAGATTCTGCAGCAACTTGAACACGTTGTAAAAAAGTGACAAAAGCGAGAACAGACAGTGACTTACTCCAAAATGTCCACTTCACAGACAAACAAAGTGAAGGTATATAAAGTCTGTGTTTCCATCTCTGAGACATCCTGTGACCAGAAACTGCTGCTGGAACAGACTCTTCAACTAACCATCAGAACAAGGTAACATTTAAAGTCCTACTGCTCATGGTGATGTTTTATGTCTTGGTTGAGTTGATCTGTGATGCTAATTATGAACTTTCCTAACGATTCTTTCTACAGATGGCTGCCGGTCTTCTCTTCTCTCTGCTTCTTGGTCTGAGCTTTGGACTCTGGATGGAGCTGATGTAAGTATGGAGAAGGACTTAAGACAATGACTGGTATGTCCCTGTTGGGAGCTTTGGCTGACTGACGTAAATCAGGTGGAGCAATCTGAGCCATCACTTGGTTGATGAGAAAACTTTGTTTTGTTGGGAATTTTGTCCTAAAACTTTGGGTTTTTCCGTCCACAGGCCGGATGTGAAGTGAGAGGTATGTGATTCTTTTATTGAGTTTCTAACACCTAAAAGACAATTTTATTGTGAGAAGTTCTTTGACAAGATAGGAAACTTTTGGTTTCTTGGGTCATCCTTTCAGCAAAATTACAGGCCTTAATTTCTGTATGAAGGACTGTATGTGTTTGGTGTGACATGATGCTGATTGTTGGATGGATGTATTAACCTTCTCCATTCATATTTCCCAGCTAACACACCACTTGACTGCCCTGCAGGCTGGAAATGGTACAAAGGTCGATGTTTTTTGTTTGTGGAAGATCCAACTAGATGGATAATGGCAGAGGTACAATAGATGTGATGATCACAGCAGATTTCCTACATTAAAATAAATTTATTGATATAAAGACAATAAGATTCACCAACAATAAGGTTCCAGAAACTGATTTCCATTAAACAAATAGATCCATAATTCCTAAAGGTTGATATTCAGCTGCACCAACTGTCTCACTGCACAGAGGAAAGTTTAAACCAGTGTTGCCTTTTTCAGAACGACTGCCTCTCAATGGATGGGAATCTGGCCTCATTTCACACTATAGAGGAGTACAACTTCATCAGAGACCTTATCTACAAAGCAGCTAAAAAACACACAGAAACTTGGGTTGGAGGTCATGATTCAGCACAGGTGAGAATTTAAAAACATGCAAATATCTCCGTTTGGTTGATCACTTTTTCTGTCAAGATGCATTTCTCATGGATCTTTTTGTAAAAGCTTTTAGATGACATTTGTTGTGAATTGTTTTCTTCCGGCTGCTCTGACCAGCTGAGGGTTTAAATATCAATGATCCAAACACAGTTCATGTTTTCTGTAATGAGTGACAGGAGTCTAGGTTGGTTCTGTGTGATTTGTTTGCATTGCAACTTCAAACTAAGATGTTCTTTCAGGAAGGCTACTGGATGTGGACTGATGGTTCTAACTTTATTTTGAAGTCCTGGGGCCCCCTGGAGCCAGATAATAAGCAAGGAAAGGAACATTGCCTGTTGATGAACTCTTCTGGTATTTATTACTTCGAAATCATAACCTGTAATTTAATAATGTTGTTTAAATGCATGTTTTTATCTTTGTATCTGGTGTCTTAGTAAGTAGGAGTTTGTCCTGTAATTGGTGGGTTCCTGGTTCGAACCCCCACTCCATTCATGTCCGTTGTGTCCTTGGGCAAGACTCGTCATCTGCCCTGCATGCTTTCTGAAACCAATCAAATCATGTCAAAGTCTTTGTCAAAGGTTTGTGGTCAGGATTTGTCTCTTTGTTTTCAGAACAAGATCATACAGCAGATGAAATCTGTAGCAAGAAGTTTCCCTACGTCTGTGTTCGATCCCTGTAACCTTCCTTTGCCTAATAATCTGAACTGTATGGCTTTCCTGCTGGTGATGTCACTTCCACCTGGATGTCAAGTCTCGATGACATCACTGCTGGAAGAACCTGATTTCACTTTATTTGATCACTGAAATAAATGTTTTCTTTCTCTGAAATCTGATTGATTTAATTATATAATTGAAAATCGACCAGAGTTTCAGCCTCCCTGCCTTACATGTTTTAGATGTTTCCCTTCTGCCACACCTGGAATCTGTGGGTGATTAACAGCCCTGTAGTTCTTGATGGCTACAGAAGAGATCATGCAATCCTTTACTGAGCTATTCTGGAATAGAGACACATCAAAGCATATCAGTAAGCACATCAAAACAGAAAAAAATAAATCAAGCAATTTAAAATGATTTAAAGCCCAGCAAACCTGACACTTCCTCGTCCACCACATGTTCTCCCAGACCGAGCAAAAGGCCCCGTGTCAAACCATTAAAAACTCAAATCTCACAGCATCTCACAGAATTTCACACGTTGGTCTGAAGTGGTGGGAAGATAAAAAAATACAAAGGGAGACGTAAACCTGTTAAAATATTTGTTGTGCCTCAATGTCCTGGGTTACAATGGGCACGAAATGCTGTTATTTTTTAATAAACACATTTAAGATGAAAGTAATGTTGCCAAACTTACCATAAAAGTTCTCAGAGCAGATTTCAATTTAGATCCCGGTTGCAAACAAGCCAGCAGCAAAGTGGCGGTTTGGTTGGGACCAACCACTAGTGTAAAACTGGGGAGGCAGACCGATCCGCTTCTTGTAGATGATTTTCAGCCAGCACATACTACACAGTCAGTAGTAATTTTTACAGACAAGCAAGAAAATGGAAAGAAAGGAATCACAATCCACTGTTCTCAACATATAGTGCTTAATTTAAAACAGTGGTTCTTAACCTGGGTTCTACAGAATCCCAGCGGTTCTGCAGAACCCCGGCGGTTCGGTGAGTCGGTCTCAGGGGTTCGGCGGATCTTCTGCCGCAGAGGTAAAGACACTCTTTTGTAAAGTCGTGATGATGCGCCCTGCTTGGCCAATCAGTGCTGCAGGGAAGTTAGTGCCCAGTAGTCAATGGATGTCGTCGTTGGATGTCATGTTGTTTCTTTCTCAATATTTGAATCCATACTAAACATGTCGAGCAAAATCAGAAAGTGGTTGGACGAATATGTACAAGAGGAATGCTCAACAAGTCGACTGTTCGATCTTGGGAAGGTTTTGAGTCTCGGCAGCAGGAGGCAAACTGAAGGCCTCCAGAACGCCGAGACCAGAACTTCCTCTTCTGACTGGCTTATCAAAATATTCACCAAGATCCAAAACGTTAAATAATAATTGTAAAACAATCAACAAAATGTGTTAAAATTAATAATCTGTAATCTTTGATTCAAAATGGGTGACCAGTCTTTCCCAACCCTGGTCCTCCAGCCTGTTCATCAGTCATCAGTTCAAATCATGTGTGCTGAATTAGGGAACTACCTAAAACTTGCCTTGAGGACCAGCGTTGAAGAACTCTGGATTAGTCGCTGGCATTTCAATCATTAGATTTCAACCACTGAACAAAATTGATTCAATCTTTCCAACATCAGTTCATTGGCTAGAATTGGATTATTGTTTCATGGTTTATGCACCATCAATTGTCAACCTTAGCCAAAAATTCAATCTTTATTATCATAATTCAATGTTAAATGAACATATTTTCAAATCAAGCCAACAGCAGAGTGGCTGTGTGTTTGGGACGTCCAATGCATGTAAAAATAGGAGCCGGCCGCTTCACTCCTTGCAGTCACTTGTAGATGTCTTGGTGTCAATTTATCACGCACAAACAGTAATAATTTTTATGGACAAGTAAGAAAATGTATAGAAAGAAATCATAACCTACTGTCCAAACCTACGCTTATTACTGTGCATAATTGAAAACATGTTGAACCTGCTCAATAATAAAAGAGCAGGAGGCGGAGTGCGACAAGCAGCATTCGTTGATTGAATATGAAATATCAATATTCAATATCAGTATTGAATATTGATCAGATATTGACATTTTCAACCACAAAACAAGATTGATTCAATGACATATTTTCAACATTGGTTACTTGGCTAGAATTAGATGATTGTTTGATGGTTGATTCACTGATAATTGTCGACCGCAACCAAAAATCAACCATTTTGACTGTAATTCAATGTTGAATTAACATTGATGGCTAACTAGGTGATGACAAGAACATGTGGGTGTGGCTGGATGGCAAATTCATAACCCTGTATTGATTTACAATCAATACAGTTGATTGTAAATCACACATGCATCATCCTATTTGCATCAAACTGGATAAAAAATAATATCCAAAAATGGCAATAGGATTATATAAGAGTTTGACTCTGGTGCTACTGGAACAGAAATATCTCTATGATAAAAATGAAAGATTCTCTAAATGCGCTGCCTGGTGTACAGCACATTAAAAGCTGTCTACCTCACATGTCACCTGAATAACATAGATCTTGAAGTGCTTTGAACTGTAAAATATTGACAGATGCCAGTCTGAAGAGTAGTAATCATTGGCCATATTCTTCTCATGGATGACTTAAAGCTGCATGCCAAGGATGAACTAGAAATAACTCACTGATCCTCATATATAGCAAACTCACCGGAACATCATTCAGATGGCAGAAGCTTTCTAATTGTTTCCAAAAAGTCGAGGTGATCACAGCTAAACACGGAGCAGCCAGCATGAAATCAAAAGGAATCATCTGTAGACCTCTGTGACTGGACTGTCTTGAGACACAAATCTGGAGAAGGATCCAGAACCTGCCCTCTTTTAACACAGGTGGACTGAAGCTGGTTTTTCAGTCTTCAGGACGGCCGACTGCTCTTGTCCTCTGCCACGAAGTCCTTCTGGCATGACAGATCCCACTTCTCACACCAAGCATGTGGTGGAAACTCCTTATCAAACAGGCAGACAAACTACTCAAGAATTGATAAAGTTTCAACTTTATCTTTCAAGTGTTTTATTTGAAGGCAGTCAACAGACTGAATCCAACAGAGTCAGGAAAAGCAGAGCAACATCTCACAGATACGTCCTTTTTTAATCCACTTCTGTTATCAGAGAGTACATTCCATACAAGAACACAGTTCTGGACAGAGAAGCAGAAGAGGCAACATCAGCCGGTTTGGTCCGGTTCTAATCACTTCTTACGGTACGTAACTCTTCACGCTATCAGGAAAACGTCCTTGGCCGAATCCTGGAAGATTCTGCAACAACTTGAACACGTTGTAAAAAAGTGACAAAAGCGAGAACAGACAGTGACTTACTCCAAAATGTCCACTTCACAGACAAACAAAGTGAAGGTATATAAAGTCTGTGTTTCCATCTCTGAGACATCCTGTGACCAGAAACTGCTGCTGGAACAGACTCTTCAACTAACCATCAGAACAAGGTAACATTTAAAGTCCTACTGCTCATGGTGATGTTTTATGTCTTGGTTGAGTTGATCTGTGATGCTAATTATGAACTTTCCTAACCATTCTTTCTACAGATGGCTGCCGGTCTTCTCTTCTCTCTGCTTCTTGGTCTGAGCTTTGGACTCTGGGATGGAGCTGATGTAAGTATGGAGAAGGACTTAAGACAATGACTGGTATGTCCCTGTTGGGAGCTTTGGCTGACTGACGTAGATCAGATGGAGCAATCTGAGCCATCACTTGGTTGATGAGAAAACTTTGTTTTGTTGGGAATTTGTTCTAAAACTTTGGGTTTTTCCATCCACAGGCCGGATGTAACATGAGAGGTACGTACTTCGTTTATTGTTGGAGATTCTAACACCTAAAAGACAATTATATTGTGAGAAGTTTAAAAAAAAAAGATAGTAAACTTTTGCATAGATCAGCTATATTGGGTTGTGCTTTAGGCACAAGTACAGAAACATCCCATCCCACAAGGCCGATAGGCAACAGTAGTTTTTACTGAAGGCAGCTAGAAATGCTAAGGCAAATTATTTTCTGAATAAAATAATCAGAACCAATAAATGTGTCATTTCAGAGGCTTTTCATCTGAAAATATTTTTGAATAACTTATCTGCTAAATCCTCTTGTTAAAGTGCAGTATTTTTAGTTGATTTTTCATTCAATTCAACATTGATTATGCTTTATCAATAAAGTACGAGTCTAAATCTAAGTCTTTTTCACAATGATTAACTGACATGATTTCATAGATTGTAATTTGTGTTAATTGCTCATACTTTTTATGTATTTTTACCATCATGTTTGATGCTGTCAGGAAAGTGGGATGCTGTGTTTTCTCTGTGGTTCTTGCAGCTGGTAGCCACCTGAGGCTGCCATGGTTAGCAGCCATACTTGCAAGTCCTTCAGCCTCATCATACACAGAACCGGTCTGGTTGTATCTACGTATGATGATACAACCACTTCTGTTGTCCTGCAGTTTTTATATGTGCCATAGGTAAAACACTGGAATGAAATGGCTTCATTACCTCCTTGTTCTCCAGAGCCTTAATGACCTAATTATTCTATTCAGGTGGTGCAGCAGAGGTACATGTAAACGTTGCAGGACACTGGCCTTTGAGGACTGGAGTTTGACACCCCTGTGGTAGATGAACCAGAGACTGTGGATAACCTGATTACCCAAGTAACTCAACTTGATCTGAGATTAAAGGACAGACTATGAGACAGACCAAGAAGAAACTACCTCAATCTTCCCATTAATTTTTCACTAACTTTCACTCTGTCTCTTCATCCTCCTCAATTGCTAAGTCTCCTACACAGAAACCAGAACCAATGCAAGAAGCATCTCTTGAGGAATGGTAGCGCAGAATGCAGACTAACCAGTGTTTGTATTGTGGAGGTTCTGATCACTTCATCAACACTTCAGTTAATAGCCAAAGTCCATAAATAACTAAGGGGAGTCTGAATCTGTGTTTTTTCCTCCGTGCTACACAGTTTTTTCAATAATACTCATTCCATATCAGCGCTTTGGTTGATCCAGATTCTGAACAGACCATCAATGCCCCGTCCGTTATTCAACAACATGAAATAGTGACTATTCCTATTAGGAGCCCTCTTGAGACTACAAATGTCAATGGAAGACCCTTGCCACCAATAACCCATTGCACGA